CAACCATTTATAATATTATACAGCATCTTTTTTGTTATTTGGTGAGGATCAGAGGTTTTTTATTGAGATTAGTTATCAACATTAGCATTAACTGTATATTTACAAATAAATCCTCTATAGTGTACTCCCTCTGTCCCAATTTTATTATCCCCTATGGGTTTTTAGGTGAGCCACCTTTTTATTTTATTTTCCAAACATTGAACCTCTGTCCCAATGTTATTATCCTCTTAGGTTTTTAGGAGAGCTGATGTTTTATTTAATTTTCCTCTCATTTCGTTGATGGAATTTAATGACAAATGGTTGAGTGTTAGTAGAGCAAGGATAAAATAGTATATTTGGTATCAACATTAGATCCCTTCTAAGAATGAAACACTATAAATGGGGCAGATAAGAAAGGAAATTGGGACGCCAGTAATGCTGTGTATGGACGATGGAGTAATCAGATGCCAAATTAGTGCACAACTTTGCATCCACAAGGAAGGTCACAAGACACAAAAGTCAATAGTAAATTAATCAGAAGGCGGCGTACTGGAACCAAAACAGGAGAAATAAATTCTTATATAAAAAATACTGACCAAATTAAGTGGCTATGAAACACTGCACAATGTTTACAAATCCCTACTTTGCAGATTTACCCATAGTTTGACATTTTGGCTTTTACTTGGAAACAGAGAAACTAATGAAAATGACTGCAAAACTGGACATTTCAGTAAATGAAGAAGCTTATAGTAAAAGAAATTGAAGATCATCTCATAACATTTCAGTATCCAAACCAAATTGGTAGAGTAGTGCTTAGCAAGCAAGTGCTCAAGTATCACCACGACGTGAAATGGATAATCTCAGAAGACGTGAGCTTTGCTCGACACTTTCGTTCTCTTTTCAATAGCTATATAAATGGCAAATTTTCAACACTCGACGATTAAAACGCAAAAAAAGTAAACTAGCATATTATTATAACAAAAGTTACCATCGAAGGAACCGGAGAATCGGCGTCGCTCTGCGTCACCGTGAGCAAAGTTGCAGCTCTGGCGGTGGCAATGGCCCTTCTGATAGAGCACGCATAGCTTCGTTTTGTACACCATTCTTTCGACCATGCGGGGTGTATCGATGAATACGGCTAAAATTGAAATGAGCTTACCGGGGCGTTGAGTGGTGGGATGAAAAGAGAATGTATTGTACTGTAACTTTAGCAATTGTTCATTAATTCATTAATTCATTGTGCCCTAAACCCTAGTCTCGACGTCATTTTGTTTCATCCTATTTTACCAAGACAATTTTAGTTACGTAGTATTTTCATGTAATTTTTCTTTATTTTATCAATAAAATGTATTAGCCACTTTAGTCAACAAATTCAACTAATTTAGCCACTTTTTCTAGAAATTCGTTTTTTAGTAGATTCAACCGATTCTGTCGATTTCAATGTTATTAAATGGACTCTAAACTGACACAATAACTATTAAAAAAATAGTGTACAGTTTTTTCAAATGTAAAATTGAAACCTATCTTCCCCACTCTACATAATCTCAAGGTTCTATTCTAATAAGACATAAAAAAGATCATTTATTCTAATAAGACATAAAAAAAGATCACTAGCATTTCTTATTATGTGGGAGTTTTGAAGATTGATTCAGCCATAGAAATCTTAGGGGGGTGTATTGTACCTAGAATTAGTGGTAGAATTTTAGAACTCTGTGGAATTTCAAAATATGGGTGTTGAATATTGATTTTTAATAGTCAATAAATATCTGGGTATATTCAATTAGGATTTTAAGGAAAAATTTGGTCATGAAATAGCTTATAACCACTACCAAAGCAGAAGGCAAATCCAATGAATGGAGAATAAATCTTGCTACTCAAATGTGGGCAGTTGCAGAAAATGAATAATTTTGATCCATAGTTCAATAGCACAAGACATTTGTTTCAATTTTGTGCATTAATGACATTTTTTATTATGTTGTTTAATGCTTATACTTGAATATTTTATTTGTCATATTTTTTAGAGAACATTGGCTATTATATTGGCAAAATCATTTGCCAACAACTTAATATTAGCAACTACAGAACCAATCAGAGACCGATCAGGTGTAGCTGATTCGATGCGTTAAATCATAGATAGACAATCAGACGCCACAACGATGTTCTGGTAACCTTCCTCCCGGGTGAGAGCCAGCGCACGCCTAATGGACAATGCTTCATCAAGTTCCGGTGTAGTGACATCCTCAATCATGCAAGCAAACAAACAATGACCCTTCTCGTCACGAATCACCACACCCGCTCCCATTCTGCGAGAATTCAGAAATAATGCAGCATCCACGTTGACACACCCCAAACCAGCCGACGGTGGAACCCATATAGGAGCTGAAGAGAGGGAATCACACCTTGAGGCCTTTATCGACTTAAAGCAATGTTGCATCATCATCTCCACATAGGCTTTTACTTTCTCAGCCAACCTTTAGGATGCATCGAACCTTTGTTATTTCGTGCATCATTTTGAGCTTCTCAAATGCCAAAATGTAATAGCAAGAGCAGTGGTGTTAAGAGCAGATTCCTTAGCCACAAAATCAAATAGCCATTGTCGAGCATTACTCAAAACTTTTCTGCACAACCTGAGGGGAAAGAGTCCCTTAACTGATGACCAAACTGAATTTGCAAAGGGACACATAAGAAAAGAATGTTCCACACGCTCAACTATGTTGCAAAAGATGCAAATATCAATTAGAATAAGAATATGACGCTTCAGTGGTTGAATCTTGTGGGTAAGCAATCATGTGCAGACCGCCATAAGAGAATCTTCATTTTGTTTGGGGCTTGAGTCTTCCACAATGCTTTCCAGCATTGATCCTCAGCCATAACATTTGACGGTAAGCCACAACCATTTTCACTTCTGGCAGCCAAGAAAGAATTAGATCGGGCTAAAAAGTAGGCTGATTTAACCGTATACGTGGCCCGTTTATCATGAGGCCAAGATACAAAAGCATCTCTATTGTGGTGACTAATGGGGAGCTGCAAAATTTGATTTGCAATTTCCCCATCAAAGAAACTCCCAACCATATCCGCACCCCACTCTGTGTGCCTCATTCATCAAGAATTGAATTGCAGTAGCATTAATAGGGATCGGAATCAGTGAACGAAATGTATCTGCATTGTGGCTCGGGATCCAATTGTCACTGAGGGTCTTGATTGTAGCTGTATTGCCAACCCTCCATCTGAGGCCTTTCAAGACTAATTCTCTTCCAAAGAGAAAGTTGCGCCAAGTGAAGGAGGATGCCCGAGGTTTAGGAGTCGGCAAAAAAATTTTGTGTCAGGAAAATAACGCCCTTTAAGGACCCTTTCGCACAAAGAAATTGGGTTTGTTAGCATGCGCCAACAGTGTGGACCCAACATTGCTTGATTAAAGAGAACAAGATCCCGGAAACCCATGCCGCCAAGGGATGTGGGTGAAGACAGCGTACACAAAGCACACATCAGTGTAATGCCAAAAATCTTAAATTTATTACACACACTACTGAAACGGCTACCAAGTGCTAAAACATAAACAAATAAATGGATATTGATTGTTATTAAACCAACAATGAACACCCAAACGCTCTTAAATAGCCAGCGCTCAAACACTCTTCGTAATACAAAACTCCCATTCACACTTACCTGACTGTAGTTATTCGGACTGCTCAAATGGATATTGGTTGTGGTTCACTCGTCAATGGCGTCCAGTAACTCAATGGCGTCCAGCAAACCCTTCAACGATAAGGTCAACGGCGCCTTCATTCGCGGGATTTCAACATTAGGGTTACAGAAATATTGAACGTTAAGGAGGAGGTTAAAGTATGTAAACCCAAATAATCCACATGTATATACCCTGCCAGCTTAAAAAAAAAACCATGTCAGCGCCAAGTAAGCATTTCACAGGCTAACCGGTTGGTGACCTCCAAAAAAGGCTAATTGGTCGGTTTTTGTGACTTCGTGGGCTTTAATGATCAATGTTGGAGTAGAAGGGCTTAATTGACTATTCGTACAGAGTAGGTGGACCTATTTGACAGTTTTCCCTTTTAAGTACTTTAAAACTAAAAGTTCAAAGCTGGGTGGAGGGTGCTTTTAATAGCTTGTTGGTATTTTTGTCAATAATTTAAAGTTTAGGGATAGTTATTAGGTTGAATATTTTGATTAAACCCAAACTACCCTCCCCTTATTCCTGCCTCTCCCGGTCCAGTCACCTTCTTCCTTCCACTTTTTCCTTCTTCTATCACTCCCCATCCCATCTTCCTCTGCTGCTAGTGTTTAGGCTTTCTCCATTCCATCTTGCTGCTTCTCCACTTTCTTTGGATAAATTAATTTGATGTGGGCAAACAGGTCACACTTACAACTTGATCGTTCATCAACCCAATAACACTCACTCCATCCCTTCCATTTTACAAACCTGCCGGAGGATCCATAAATTGAGTATGTATGCTTCTGTATGCTTCTGTGTCGCCAATTTGCGCACATGGGATGCGTCCCAATTTCATTTGTGCAGGGGACAATTTTGTACTTTAACAAAATATTCCATAAAAAAATCATTTTTTTATCAAACACTCTAACTTTTACATTCTAATTAAAATCACTTCTATTCTCAAACACTATCAACTTTTACTACAAATCACTTTTCCAATAATCTCTTAAAAAAACTTTTTTAAAAAGCACAAGTAATCACAAACACTCTCTTAATATGAGTCCCAACTTTTTTCATTTTGAAAGGAGGCTAATCTAATTATGAAATAAAATCATGATCAGTTTTTTATCATTTCAAATGATAAACCTTGAAGTAGAAAAGTAGATACCAACAGCTTATATATCAACTCTAGCATCAAAATATAGAAACAAACAGCTTATATACCAACTCTAGTTTGAAATAATTTGATCCGATAAATGTCTGATCTTTGTATAAATCTTTGTGTATTTTATAATTATGGAAGTCTCATAAAGTATAATTTGTACTTCGTATGTTTGAGTGAGACTTGGTTTGATCAAGTCTGATCTGCGTCTGACCTGGTTTGGTGCCGGATACCACAAAAAACATTCTAATTTGCCCCTCTTCCTTCAGATCTCTTGTTTTTGTTTATCTCCTCTCTACGCTGTTTCGGACCTTGTGCAGGCACAACGGGTTCTGCTCCCATGGCGTCTTCTCGCATCGATGATTTTGTTCATGTTGATGTAGTCGGAGCGCAGGCTGATTCCAACATCCAGTCTCAAGGTTCGGAGGAGAGCGTTGTGGCAGATAACGCAGCCAATGACGCGGTTAGTGGAGAGGGTGAGCCCCGAGGCTATGTCAGGAAGGCACTGCCTGATAAGCTGATGAAGAGCGTTGTGATGCTCAGTTGCGAGTCGTACGCGGAAGGCGGCATCTGCGATGTGTATCTGCTAGGAACAGCTCACGTGTCTGCGGTATATCTAGTTCGCATTCCTATTTTTTAAAGTTTATTTATTTGCTGCTGAGAGAGGTTGATGTGGTTTCTTATGTCCAGAACTGATACCGAAATTTCGGTGCATACCAAATACTGAGCCAAAACTTTGATTCAGTAATCTGTATGGACAATTTTGAAAAACCGGTGTTCAGTTTGGTATATATATACACACTTTGGTTTTCGGTATTTACCGAATACCGAAATATATAAAATAATATATACTGGAGTATTAAATATATTATTAGTTATATTATGGCCCAATCTGAATACCGGGCTATACTTTTTTATAATTAAAATTTATATATTTTCTTTAGGCAATAGGCCCAATCCGAATATGTGGATGGTGTATTGTGCATTTCCTTAGTATGTGGGTTGGATTTGTAATTTGTATATTATGACTCATTTGGGAAGTGTTATGAGACTTCCAATTGTTGTTATTATTGAATTTGTATGTTTAGACCCATGCGTGTTCTTATTTTTTGGGTTTGTATACTTTGTGAAATGGTTAATATCGTTTTGGTTAATACATATTTGGTATTTCGGTTTTACCGAATACCAAACCTAACTTTTTTAGGTTTTAACCGAACCAAACTGATTTATTGCGGTTCGGTATTCGGCACAGGAATAAGAAGAACCGAATTTTCAGTTTACCAAAAAATCGGTTCGGCTCTATGATACTGAATGAACACCCCTAAGTTTGAGAATAAACATTGCTTACCTGTATGTATATCCGTATACTAGCTTTGATACCAGTGGCATCAGTTTTTGTTTGAGTGGTTTCGTGATATTTCTGGAGTCTGGACAGTGGCCGAAATTGAACAAATTTTGAGGAGGTGTGTTTGATAGACATGTGTGTGTCTGTAAATGTAGTTCAAATAAAAAAGTCATTGAATGAAATGATTTTGATTGAGATGTAGTGGATTTCAAAGTGCCAACCATATATCAAGTTGGATAAAAAATGCATTGAAATTATTGTACATAACTAAACTTCTGCATCATTGCAAAAAATATAGAACATGAACGTTATAGTGCACGAAAGTACACACTACACATATTCACATTTGTCACGGGAAACACTTTTATCAGTATAATGGTTTCCTTATTGTGTGTACACATATAGTTTTTTTTTATTCTTAGTTTGTTGGTTATTTCACTTTTTGAGTCGTGTGTGATATTATTTTGAATGTATTGTACATGTCTTGTGATTTTGAGTGAAAATAGACACAATGGTTATTTAAGATCAAATTAAGTTTCAATAAATTTTGGAAACATCCTCAAAGTTGTCAACATTAATTGTTACAATTTTAGATAGATAGGCACATATAGTTTAAGATGGAATAAAGCAAAATGGCTGACTAAACTGTGTGCGCTTCTTTGTAATGAAGTAACAGTTAGTTTGCAATTTTGACGCAATTTTCACTATAGGTAATTTGGAAACAGTCTCTCAGTGCTTTAGTACAGGGGTAAGTCTGCATACATCCGACCCCCCCTTACCCCACCGTAGGTGAGAGCCTTTGCGACACTTGGATAATGATGATAAAAATGTAGTAATGAAGTAACAATTAGTCTATGCAATTTTTGACGCGACTTTCCTGGCATGTGGTATCTTACTAATCGTGCCTCTTTTTGCTAGAACCTAAAATTATATACATGATAACACCGAACCAGAGAAAATCAAAGAAGTTTTCATCTTCTTTAAGAAAATGGTGTTGGAGGCAGAGGGCAGTAGCTCGGCCCCTCCCTTGGGTCATCCGGTGATTTTTTGACAATAAATTTATTTGCTCTGGCATTTTATAAATGTAAAAATGTTGCATTTTTTGGCAGCTATATTAGATAGTCCTGCAAAGTTTTTTCTAATTTATTTGTTGACGAAAATTCCGCTTGATATAGTCTTTACAAAGTATTTGGATTAATGCATTAGGCAATGAAAAAACACTATTAGCCTTTATTCTAGGCTCACATGTGTCTTTGTCATAAAGTTAATCTTTTGTCTGTTTGTTTTGTCATAAACTCTTTGTAGTCTCTGATTTGATCAAATTTTAATGATATACAATCTGTTCTGGAAGAGGTGTTTGGGACATATATCATTTTGGTAAGTGTAATCTACATTGAAGTTCTTGTATGTATGTAGGAATCTTGCCAACAAGTCCAAGCCGTGATCAATTTCTTAAAGCCACAGGTATTATATATGATAGTTTGGCACCAAAACACACTATCATAGTTTCATTTGTTCATCCATCTGAAGGTAAGGTTGCCATCTATAGTACTGTATTTTACCCGGTAAGGTTGCCATCTATAGTACTGTATTTTACCCTTAATAATTGTTTTCTGAGTAAAACTGCTACGGATGATTGATTGCAGGCTGTCTTTTTGGAGTTATGTTCAAGTCGTGTTGCAATACTAACACCTCGAAATTTAAAGGTTTGTCCTCCCATCTCCTTGTTTGTACTTTGCTGCTTTACATTTTTATCATGCGATCATAGTTATCACAATGTCGCCTAGGCGCCAACTAGGTGTCCCAACGATGGATGAGCTCCACCATACTTTGATGTCTTGCCACGCGACCTGTGGCTTAAGCTATATATAATTTAACATTTGATATATAATTTTATTAAGCTGTCTGCACTTCTTTGTTATGAAGCAGCAGTCAGTCCATGCAATTTTCGACGCGATTTTCACTATGGGTCATCCAGAAACAGTCTCTCCCTGCTTTAGTACAGGGGTAAGACTGCGTACATCCGACCCCCCTTACCCCACCATAGGTGGGAACCTTTGCGGCAATGGGGTAATGATGATGAATGATGATATATATAATTTTATTATGCTTAAGTATTATATATGATACTAGTATAGTACCCGTGCGATGCACGGGATAATAAATTTATAATATTGCAACTATTGATGCTCTAATAAATTTCAAGAATTTGATTTATTTACATTTAAATAAATTACGAATTAATAGATGATGAAAAATAATGCTAAAAGACATTTGTGTATTGTACATTTGTACTACACGTCTACACTATAAATTTGAAAAATAAATTAATGGTTTAAATTCATAGATTGTATTATTACTGAATGTAAATATTAGGGGGAATCAAGTGCACTCGGTTAGTTACATTTCAAGTTTATAACTTAGAAAGTGTTTGAATTCACTTCTACTATATAGAAGTTATTAATTTTAAAGATTACACGAAAAGTGATTAGTAATAAAATTTGAAGTGTTTAAAATGAAAAATTAACTTTAAACTTTTAGAAATGACTTAATTTTTAACCTCCTCAGCTTATTTAATTACATTATTCACATAGAATAAAAATAGAAAAGAATTCAAATTTACAATCAAGATGAATGTAGTGGACAAAAATGCGACTCTAATAACTTTATTATTTCATCTGCCTCGCTAAAACCTCGATCTTTTATCTTTGAAATCTTAGCCTCTAGACTGATAGAAGTGACTTAATTTTTAATCTCCCCAGCTTATTTAATTACATTATTCACATAGACTAAAAATCGAAAACAATTCAAATATATTACTTGAGTACATCATCCGCCCCGTTAAGATTGTCTCATACAAAATTTGATAAAATTTGTGTTGTTTTAAATCATTCTTACTTTAAATCTCATACCAATTCAATATCAACCACATAAAACCACTTTTCTTATAATCGCAACTCTCCTCCATGTCCCTGTGTTAGTCGGACGGAGTTAGTACTCTCTCCGTCCTGGAAAGGTTTGACAAATTAACTTTTATTGATCAATGTTAGCAAATTTTGCCCAACCATTATTTTTAACACAGAACTATTTTGAATATGAAAATTATATTAAAACGTTTCTTATTAAATATATTTTCATAAAAGCATAAAAATGTTAATTACATATATAATAATTAAAATAATTGTTGAAAGTTTGTCATCGCTGATCAAGGAAAATCAATATGACGATTCTTTTTCGTGATAGAGGTGTAATATTATAGGAAAAACTCTTAAAATATTCACTTTTTTAAATAATAACAATAAACAAATTACTTGCGGCTTATCCCCACCAAATGTTGGGCACTCTCCGGCCAGGCATTAGCGATTATCAAAGTTATTTGAATTACGAAGTACGTAGTATATTCTATTATGGATCAAAATCCGATCATGGATAATTAATGCTTCAATTGGACTTTCAAGAAAAAATATCAACAACATTTAGTAGCATTTATTACTCTAATACTCTCAAATTGTGCAACCATTATAAAAACAATACTCCCTCCGTCCCGCTATGATTGTCCCATTTTACTTTTTTGGTTCGTCCCACTAAGATTGTCTCATACCTTATTTGGTAAAATTTGTGTGATTTCAAATGATTCTTACTTTATTCTTACTTTATCAATTCAATATCAACAACATAACCCACTTTTATTAATAATCGTGTTACCTTCTCTTGTCCCAAACTTAGGGGGATAGATGTAGTATTATAAAAACAATATTGTTTCCAAAATGCCACAGGATTCCCGCTCAATTACTCTAATGTTCTCAAATCGTGTAACCTAATGGCGGGATCTTACACCGTACACATGATTTAACGATCTGAGAGTATAATTTGCCATCAACGACAACCTTCCAATTAATAGCCCTTCCTTCATGTATTTCATTGATGTGATTGATATCTAGTAATCTTGACTTTTTTACAGATAAATTTTCGGAAAATTCCTTTTGTACATTCCAAGTTTTACACGTCGGGTTACACGCCGATCAAATTATTTGTATACAGACAATTTGACAGGCGTTTTATAAAGAAAACTAATTTTCACACAGACAAAAAAAATCTGTGTCACACTTTATGAAAAATTTTGTTCTAAAATGTATATGATACAAACAACACTTTACTTTTTGTCTGTGTGGAAATCGATTTTCTTTATAAAACACCGATCAAATTATCAAAATTGTGATTAAACTGATTTTTTAATCAGTAACGTCTTTGGATCCATCGACATTTATCATCTCCACATTAAGCTGTCTGCGCTTCTTTGTTATGAAGCAGCAGTCAGCCCATGCAATTTTGGATGCGATTTTCACTATGGTCTATGGGTCATCCAGAAATAGTCTCTCCCTGCTTTAGTACAGGGGTAAGACTGCGTACATCCGACCCCCCTTACCCCACCATAGGTGGGAATCTTTGCGGCACTGGGGTAATGATGATGAATGATGATAGATATAATTTTATTATGCTTAAGTATTATATATGAAATATGATACGACTTGTCACCTAGGCGATAAGGCAGTCCGCTGGCACCGTGATCTGACTAGCTGCCGTGATAACCCAAGGTTGTTAAAATCGTATTTTTGGATAGAATCGGAACAAGGATTTAAAAATCGGATCGTAAATTGTAAAATTTTACAAAATAAGTATATAAAATTATTAAAAATATTAAATAAAAGGATTAAAGGAAATTCAAAATATAACATTATTAATTGAAACCATTATAATTTTAAGTTATACAATGATGTCTTAATTAGAGTGCACAAAATAATTAATAACAAAATAATGTTACCAAACAAAACAATGTTAATAAAACAAAGTAATGTTATATATACTCAAAGAACAAAATTTTCACGAAAATAATACTTCCTCCGTTCCTTTTTAATTGCAACAGTCAACATTTCACGTTTGCCAACGCACAAGTTTGACCATTAATATGTTTCATTTCTTATTAGTAAAAAAATTTTAAAAAATCACATTTTGAAAATTTAGAATGAGAATTATTTAAAAATATTTTTTAAAAATTTAATTTATTACACATTAATTAATAAAATGTAGTCAAAGTAGAATATGTGAATAGTGTAAAAAGTCTAATGTTGCAACTAAAAGAGAACGGAGGTAGTAATGATGTTCTAATCAAGTGTCACAATAAATACTACGTATATGTTTGTCAAGACTATATAAGTGTAATTATGTTTGTTTTGAAGAGCATTGAATAAGTATGGCAATAGTTTTTTTCAAATAAAAGCATGGCAATAGTTACATTAGAGCATAAAGTTGCTTATGGTGGATTGGTTAAGCAATGAGTACATCCTTATTCAAGAGAGTTGGAGGTGGGTTCGAAACCCGTCGTTGACTGGTTTTGATTTTTCCATAAAAGCTTCTTTATTCTTCTAAAATCAATGTTCCCCACACCGGAAGAGCATAGCGAATTCCCCCCTCCCTCATCTATATATAGCGAATCTCAGAATATCCAAGCAAGAACGTAGGCTAGCACATTAAGTTGCCTGACCGGCCAGAGATACTCGGCTGGGTTTGGTGCGAGCAAAGTCAAATTTTAAAATCGGGGAAATCGTATGCAATCGTGAATTTTAACGATTTCAGCGATTTCAATACGATTTTTTTACGATTTTGTGAACGATTCAAATCGGTTTGGTGCTTTTGGATCGTAAAATCGTATGATTCTACGATTTGAATCACGATTCTAACAACCTTAGTGATAACCTTGCATGAGATTACGAATGCAACTTGTACTAGATACAAAAGTTAATATGGATCATTTGTCATTATTAATTTTTAAATATTTGTGTGGTTATTTTCTTACTTTTAAAATTTTGTCATGTAACTGCTGTGTCATTTTTTGAGAAGGCACAATAGTGAAGCTTTGAGATCCATCATCTGCTTTTGCTTGTTTTACCTTTCTACAACTCTCATACGGTTAATTCTGTCTTTCGCCCATCATTTAGAACAGAAATATTAGACCACTTCTTTTCTGTATATAATAACAACAACGTATCCTAAGATTCATTCCCAGATGGACAACCTTTTCTGTGTATAATTGATGTTATTTGCTTGTGTATTACTAGATGTGAAAGTATATTAGAATATACTTTAGAATATGCTTTAGAATATATTAGGAATATACCATATATAGTATTATTGTATAGCATCTTTTATAGGAATATTCTATCTTTGTAATCTATATTTATAGGGCCCTATCCTTCAATGAAATATACAGAAAATCTTTCCTCTACTTTCAATATTATTCTAGTTTATATTTCAACATGGTATCAAAGCCTTTCTGTTCCATTTGATTTTAATTTCACAGCCCAGTTTCTTCCCGTTCAGAACATCCCCAGAACCTCAGCAGAACATCTCAGAACCTCAGCAGAACATCACTTTTGTTCATAAACTCAGTCCAACAACTGTCTCACCACCACCACCCTCTGGTTCGCCTGCCGCCGGCGACCGGCGACCTGAAGGCCGCACGCCCAAATCAGCGCACGTGAGCTACAGCGCCGTCAGGAGCTTCCGCATCCATCGCACGCGCCGGCGCGTTCAGCCGTGTTTATGGCCGGAGCTTTGATCGGAACCCATCACCTCACTCGCCGTGGTGTCTTCTACCACATGTATTCGCTATTTCCAGGTATCTTTTGAACTTGGAAGTCTCACTTGTTTGTTCTCCAGCCAGGGACGGATATATGTTGGCGGGAGGAAGTCTGGTTATTTGGTCACTGGATTCAAGCATCTGGTATCTGTGGATATATGCCCCCAAAACTGATTGTTGAGAATTGAGATTGGATATGTGTTACCAGTCCGTTTTATTGGGAAGTCAGACGAAGCCTTGAAGCTTTTGACTGGAGTCCGTTATTTTACTGGAGTGCAAAGCCGTAGTGGATTACTTATTTCGTTCTCCAAAATTTGAGCCCAAGCACGTGAAAGGCTGCTGTAAGTTCATACTGCTATCTCAGTTTTGATTTATTAAAAAAAAACATGTCTTGTACGAGTGGATTTGACAGAAGAGTAATATGCAATTACTGTAAGAAGCCGGGGCACTTGATCAAAGAATGTAGAAAATTGCTGTTCAAAAATCAAGGAAATCAGCTTGCTCGTGTCGCTTCCGCTACCAGTTCATCTGATGGATCAGTTGCTATTTCTTCAGATGAGTATGCCAAATTTATTTGCTACCAAGAATCTTTAAAGCATTCATTTGTCCCTATCTCGGTAGCCGCGAATTCAGGTATTTCAAACACGTCTTGTTTCATCATCCTCGAAATGGGTCATTGATTCAGGTGCCACAGAGCATATGACCGGTAATCCTAGTCTATTCTCATCATTTCATTCATATTTACCTACTTCTAGTGTCATTTTAGCTGATGGATCTACCTCACCCGTTCTTGGATCTGGTACTGTTGTTCCAACTTCTACATTACCATTATCGCCTGTTTTGAGTCTTCCTAATTTTGCATTTAATCTGCTTTCCATTAGTAAAATCACTCGTACTCTTAATTGTTCTGTAACATTTTTTCCTGGATATTGTGTGTTTCAGGATCTGTTAACGAAGCAGATTATTGGTAAAGGACATGAGTCAGCTGGTCTTTATATTTTGGATACATCCATCACAAAAGGTATCTCTTGTCTCGGGGTTGGGACTTTGTTAGATGCTCATTACCGATTAGGACATCCATCTCTCCCATTAATGAAGCAAATAAATCCCCAATTTAATAAGATGACCTCTTTACAATGTGAGTCATGTCAATTTGCGAAACACCATCGTACTAGCTTAAGCCCGCGAGTTAATAAACGAGCAAATGCTCCATTTGACCTTGTTCACTCTGATGTTTGGGGTGCTTGCCCGGTTGTGTCTAAAGCTGGTTTTAAATATTTTGTTACCTTTGTTGATGACTATTCTCGTATGACATGGCTGTATTTCATGAAACGTCGATCTGAGTTGTTCACTCATTTTTCTTCCTTTTGTGCTGAAATTAAAACTCAGTTTAACGTTCCTGTTCGGGTGTTAAGAGGAGACAATGCCCAAGAATATCTATCTGCTACATTTAAGTCATTTATGCTTCAACATGGCATTATTCATCAAACTTCATGCGTTGACACACCTCCTCAAAATGGAGTTGCAGAACGAAAGAACCGACATCTGTTAGAAACTGCAAGGGCTCTTCTATTCCAAATGAATGTGCCTAAACAGTTTTGGGCAGATGCCGTGTCTACTGCATGTTTTTTGATAAATCGAATGCCATCTTCTGTTTTGAATGGCAAAGCTCCTTATCATTGTCTATTTCCAAACAAAGAGCTTTTTCCTATCCCACCTAAAATATTTGGTTGCACTTGTTTTGTTAGAGATTTTAATCCTCATCTTACAAAATTAGATCCCAAATCATTAAAATGTATTTTCTTGGGTTATTCTCGAGTCCAAAAGGGGTATAGATGTTTTTGTCCGAGTACTGGTCGGTATCTTGTTTCTATTGATGCATCATTTCATGAAAATACACCTTTTTCATCATCAAAGGCAGATATTCATGAGAGTAATGATGATATTCTCATTTACACGATGACTATTTCCGAGTCCACACTTTCGACAAATATTCCACAAGTTACTGTTCCTGACCCTAGGCCTCCCGTACATTTGGTATACACCCGTCGACACAAAGCACCTAATCACCCTCCACCGGCGATACCTGTGATTACTTATCCTAATACTAGTTCGACTCCGATCTCATGCCCTGAACCAGTACCTGCATCTTCAGATCTTGTCTCCACATCAGATCTTGACCTCCCAATAGCACTACGTAAAGGTACACGGTCTTGTACTCATCCTATTTCTTCATTTGTGTCATACAATCAGTTATCTCCTGCTTCATTGATTCTATTTCTGTTCCCAAATCTGTCAAAGAAGCTTTGTCTCATCCTGAATGGCGTCATGCCATGGTAGAGGAAATGAATGCTTTAGATCTTAATGGTACTTGGGATTTGGTTGACTTGCCTACAGGGAAGAAATCTATTGGATGTAAGTGGGTCTTTCCTGTTAAGGTTAACCCAGACGGATCTGTTGCTCGGTTGAAAGCCCGATTAGTTGCGAAGGGTTATGCTCAAACCTATGGTGTTGATTATTCTGACACTTTTTCTCCTGTTGCTAAATTAACATCTGTCAGGTTACTTATTTCACTCGCTGCAACTCATGATTGGCACTTACATCAGTTGGACATTAAAAATGCATTTTTGCATGGTGATCTTAAGGAAGAAGTCTATATTGAGCAACCTCCGGGATTTGTTGCTCAGGGGGAGTATGGTAAAGTTTGTCGACTTCGCAAATCTCTTTATGGTCTGAAACAGAGTCCTCGTGCATGGTTTGGGAAATTCAGTCAATCAATTGAACAATTTGGAATGATAAAAGGCAAATCAGATCACTCTGTCTTTTACAAACAAACAGAATCAGGTGTCACATTGCTTGTGGTGTATGTTGATGATATTGTGATTACAGGGAGTGATATGCAAGTATTTTGGCCCTTAAGAATTTTCTGCATAGTCAATTCCAAACGAAAGATCTTGGCTCTTTGAAATACTTTCTGGGAATTGAAGTAACACGAAGTAAGAAAGACATATTTCTATCTCAACGTAAATATGTACTTGACTTACTAGCTGAGACAGGGAAATTAGGGGCAAAACCAAGTACAACACCCATGGTTCCCAACGTGCAACTCACTCAAGAAGGCAAACCATTTGAAGACCCAGAAAGATATAGAAGACTGGTTGGAAAGCTTAATTATCTCGTAGTCACTCGTCCAGATATTGCTTATTCTGTGAGTGTAGTGAGTCAATACATGTCATCTCCAACCATTGATCATTGGGCTGCAGTAGAACACATATTATGTTACTTAAAGGGTGCACCAGGACGAGGTATTGTTTATCAAAACCATGATCACATGAGAATAGAATGTTTTGCGGATGTTGATTGGGCCGGTTCTAAAGATGATCGAAGATCTACATCTGGCTATTGTGTCTTTGTTTTTGGTAATCTTGTATCTTGGAAGAGTAAGAAGCAGAATGTGGTTTCTCGTTCGAGTGCCGAATCAGAATATCGAGCTATGGCACAATCTGCATGTGAGATCATATGGATAAGCCATTTATTGACCGAGCTCGGACTGAAGACATCAATGCCTGCTAAATTGTGGTGTGATAACCAAGCTGCTATACACATAGCAAACAATCCTGTATTTCATGAGAGAACAAAGCATATTGAGGTTGATTGTCATTTTATTCGAGAGAAGATACAAAAAGGATTGATCTCTACAGGATATGTGAAGACTGGGGAACAACTTGGAGATTTGTTCACTAAAGCACTAAATGGAATCCGAGTTGATTATTTATGTAACAAGTTGGGCATGATAAATATCTATGCTCCAACTTGAGGGGGAGTGTGAAAGTATATTAGAATATACTTTAGAATATGCTTTAGAATATATTAGGAATATACCATATATAGTATTATTGTATAGCATCTTTTATAGGAATATTCTATCTTTGTAATCTATATTTATAGGGCCTTACCCTTCAATGAAATATACAGAAAATCTTTCCTCCACTTTCAATATTATTCTAGTTTATATTTCAACACTAGAGAAAAGGGTCAAATGAGACCTTCTACTATTATGAAACCGTCGCATAAGATCATGTACTCAATAAAGTGTCATATAAATACATCTACTTATAAATAGCAATCATATGAGTCCTAATGACCTGTTGGCAACCTCATAATCCCGGTTTTAGCTTATGTTTGGCTATCTTTTAAAAATATATCATAAAGTTCACATTAAATATTTGGCCAGGATTGGCTTAAATACAAGACAAAAATAATGACACGTAAGCTAAAATCCGGATTATGAGGTTGTCAACGGTCATTTTGAGTCATCCGATTGATTTTTAAAAGTAGATGTATTTAAATGACACTTTATTGAGTGCATGACCTTATGTGACGATTCCGTAATAGTAGAAGGCCTTATTTGATCCTTTTTCCGTATTAGTATTGAAGTTTATGTTTCCTCATTATAATGAGGCCCTGTTTTGTATATCTTGTTGTCCATTTCCTTCAGTTGTTACCTTTGGATGAGCATGCACTGATAGATGTTTCACTTTCTTTTTTCCAGATACCAACAATGGGGGAAATGGTGGATATGTGGAAGAAACAATATAACTTGTTTGCAATACTATACAGCTGGTTTCTTGCAAAGGCATGATGACAGCCCCAGTTTCTGTCTAGTTTCCACATTGTGTTGCTAATAACTTTTGGTACCGTAGTCATTCTCATAAAACTACTTGCTATATACTGGTAGGTTGCCAGTAAGCTTGATGCTTTACCCGGGGACGAGTTTCGTGTTGCATATGAAGAAGCAATGAAGTATGGTGGCAAGGTGATTCTTGGAGACCGCCCTGTCGAGGTTAGATATAATATATTCATTTAGCTAACTAATGTGTTTTAAGAAGTAATTTATGTAGGTTAGGGATTTTAGCACGCGGTCATCATGCGTGTACCAAATATAATTCAAGACTTGAATACTAATACTCTAGTATAGTGAACTAGAGTTCGTATCCACCGAGAGTGGTACTTTTCTTGTATGCACTTGTAATAAAAAGGGGGTTTGAGGTTTATGTGTACTTGAAAATATTAAAACACCAAGATGAATGAATTAAGAGAGTAAATAAATCAATTGAAATTGAGACTTGGTTTTGCTAATTTCCACTTAATGAAAAGCCAGTTGATCACGGTAATCTAGGGATTGCAACGGGGCGGATCGGGCCGGGTATACTCTTACCCGTAATTGCTGTGTTAGTTAATTTATTATTCCCGAACCCGCCTCATTCCCAGTTGGATAATTTTTTACCCAAATTGTACCCGATTGGAATGGGGAACGGGTTTCCCCACGGGTAATTGCATATTTGCATTATTAAAAGACAATTTTGTTTTTCCAAAATAGTATCACCAACAGACAATTCAGCTTGGGATAACCTATGCCCTCCTTTCATGTTCTTGTTGAATCCAGATGATCTTTCTGTTTTATCGTCTGAGGCCTCCTTCTCCGGTATTGGAGTCTTATTTTGCAAAGGCTTCCCCTGATTTTCAGGTGTCCAGTAATTAAATCTGGATGGATTTACTCCTTTGTCCTTCCATCCCCTTTTGTCTATCTCTCTGATTTTCAATTCCATATTGGCATATTCTTCTCTTCCACTAATAGAGCCTTATCCATGAGTTCAGTTAACCCACCAGACTGGTACAACTTTATTTCAGCTCTTACCTCTTCTTTGAGCCCATTCAGAAAAACCCTTTCAACATTTCTTGGTCAGTATTTCTCAGTGGCGCTACAACTAGTTCAAACTGATCTCTGTACTAGTGTACTCCATTACAGATCCGATCTGTTTGATATTGAGCATCGTACCAAACGGATTCTGTACTAACTCTTGTTGGAATCTCTGGATCAAGGCATCCTTGAAATTTTTCCATTTGTGATAAGCGGTTTGTTCATCCCACCACTGGAACCAAATTAGAGACTTATCAGCCATGATGATCAACATGATCTCCACTTTGTCAGCCTTATCTTGCATTTTCATGTGTGAATTCTAAATATGTTAGGAAACAATAAATCTCAGGAAACAATAAATAATAAAATATAACATCAAGCTAGACTACTCATTTAATTAAATGTCTCTCTGGCCCATATGCTTCCTTCTACGGTATGGAATCCCATAAAAAGCATCCATAACATCACTCCCTCCCTCGACACTAAGCTTGTCCCCAAGCTCAAATCCTGGATAAGCAGCGACAAAAATCTCAAATGGCTCCCAAGTTGCCTCAGCTGGTGTACTGCCTTGCCATTGTACTAATAGTTCCTTCTCACCTCTGTTTAAGCATACACAAAGAACATTGGCTGGTAGAGGCAGTGTTTTGCCATCCTTTAGTGGTGGTAGCAGCCCTGGTGCCGGTGGAATGCTCCCTTGATGAGGCTTTAATAAAGTGACATGGAAAGTGTTGTGGGTCTTACTCTCTGGTGGCAATTCTAACTGATATGCCACACTGCCCACCCTTGCTAATACTTTACAACAACAACAGCAACTACATCCAAGCTTTAGTCCCAAAAGATATTGGGGTCGGCTAACATGAATCGATACATGATATCACCACCAAAAGGAAAAGAAAGAAAATAAAGATAAAAAATAAGCTATTATAAAAAGATAATATAAAACGAGATGAATATACCTAAAAATGATAAAATAAAAAGGATATGAATAATGTTTATATATATAAGGATAAAAGAAATTGCATTTTTATCTATATTTTTGCATAAATATGATAAGTAATATTATATTTTTGTCTATATAAAATACATATATACACATACATTAACAAACATGAATGATAGAATTATCACATTTAATCATACGTATAAATAATCACTTAAATTCATTATGTTATAAATATAAATAATGATGAAATTTAGGTATATATATAAACATATGCAGTTTCATCTTAATTTACAACTTCATTTCTTTATATTCACTGCTAAAGCTAAAGTACATATATCGCTTAGAAAGTAAAAAATAAAAAATAAAGTAATGTTCGCGAATCTAGACGGCCTAGGCGGCCGATTAGGCGCTCTAGACGGACAACTAGGGGCCATAGGCAGCCGACTAACGGCAAACCAATTAGTCAGAGCGCCTAGACGAAAATCGGGGCGCCCGGTCACCGCCTAGCGCCTAGGCGGGGAATAGTCAGACATCTAGAACGATTTTTAGAACCGAGATCAAATCTAATGGTTGTGATTGATTTTCTAGAACCATATTAGCCTATTGCTTATTGACAATAATTTTTTTTATACTTCGTTTCTTGAGTATAAGTATTTAGTTTTTTCTTTCATTGTAGCTCTTCATTATCTAGAAAATGAAGCTGTTTTAAAGAGCATCATTATCCATTTTGTTTTGTTACTCCATGAATATTAATGCAATGAGCAGGTTAATCTTTTCTAGTTTTATGCAACATTTTACGTTTTGAGGTTTATATGTTATAACTGTTCTTATCCACTAAATTTTGACAGCATACGCAATCGTTGAGGATGTCATTTGATTATATTTAATTCAGTGCAAAATCTATTTATTGAAAGACTAGGAATACCAAATCAATATGATATGATTCCCCTGCAGGTGACATTGAGAAGGACTTGGGCAAAAATGCCCCTATGGCACAAGACAAAATTAGTTTATTCATTGATGTTTCAAGCCTTATTTCTACCAAGCCCCGACGACATCAATAGAATGGTCTGCCTTCTTTTGCTATATTATATTAGGTGGTTTCTTTTATATTGCAAACCCATATTAAAACAATAAAATCCCTCCCCCCAAAATAGAGTCATGTGTTCTATTTAAAAACAAAGTTCTCCTAGAAGAGGATTCGTGTTTGAACAAAACAGATCTATTTTCCATGTGCCCCCCCCCCCCATTAGAAAAGAAAAAAGGTTAGAAACGAGTAAAATATTTGTAAACAACCAAATAAACTGGGAAAATGTATGATGACTTGTAAGGATTGTACATTTGTACGTCACAAAAACTAGACGTTGCACCTTGATCAAACAACATTACCCCAGTGCCGCAAAGGCTCCCACCTACGGTGGGTAGGGGAGGTCGGATGTACGCAGTCATACTTATGTACTAAAGCATGTTTCCGGATGAAAATTGCGTCAAAAATTGCATGGACTGATTGTTGGTTCTTAAGAAAGCGCAGACAATTTTTTGATCAAACATGTTAGTTTTTTTTGTTTGAGGGGATGCTTTTGACCCCATGATGGTGTACTTTTTGTTTCAATGCAGTTGAAAGAAATGGATGATGTCGATATGCTGACTCTTGTTATTCAAGAAATAAGCAAACAATTCCCAACTCTAATGGAGACACTAGTACATGAGCGGGATCAGTAAGTGATCTGTGCTTATGGAAAAAGGCATTATAACTTTACCTCTATATTTAGGACGAGTTCACACTGAGCAAACCAAACGAAAGATTATATGCCTCTGAATTCTGATATCTCTGTGCTCTTACTTCTCAGGTATATGTCGTCAAGACTACGTGCGGTTGCTTGTCAACATAATTCTGTTTTGGCTGTTGTTGGAAAGGGCCACCTCATCGGAATGCAGAAACACTGGCAGAAACCCATTAAGGTTTGTATTAAAGCGTTTAAATTTGAAAGCAGTCATGGAGTCTCTCCCCCTTTTATGGTGGCCCAGGGCTCTAATTGACCCTTAAAGAAGTTAGTAAAGGGTGGCCCAGCTATCTCCTTCTCCTGACAACCTGACTCCCTCAGCCCAGCCCTGAAAAATTGTGTGGGTCCATAGCCTGCCTGTCTATGTGTTCTTTTACAATCTAAAGAAGCCTGAGAAGGTTTGTTGCCATCGGAATTTGCACCAAATATTTGAGGGCCCATTTGGAACCCAGAAAATGCTGGGGATAGAAAATTGGGAGGAAAGCTGAAAGCAAAGAAAACTTGAAAATTTATTCATTTTAGATAGTTGTTCAAGTTTATTTTATTTCTTTATTTCTGTTATATAGGAGACCAAGAAATTCCTAAATCTCAAGAGTTTAAATAGCTAGATCAGTTGTCATTTTCCTTGCATTTACAAGATAAAACCAAATGTAAGAAAAATGACTTTCAGTGATCGTTCATTTACTCCCACTACCATTTCCACTTTCTAAACATAGCCTAAAAGAATGTTTATTCTTTTTTTGGGGTGGGGAGTGGGGATGGAGCTCACATAAGACACACCTTGTTGGCTACATCCAGAAGTACAAGGTCAGATCCATTTATATATGGGGGAGCCACCCCCCCGAATCGCCCGATAGACTTGGATTGTAGTTAAAAGTATACTCTCTTTGGCCTGCTAAGATTGTTTCATCTTTCCTCTAAGGTCCGTCCCACTAAGATTGTCCCATACTAAATTTGATAAAGTTTGTATGGATCCAAATCATTCCTACTTTATTTCACATAAACTCACTTTTCTTAATAACCACACCCCCTCCTCATGTCCAAATGTTAGTGGGACGGAGGTAGTAATAAATTTAGTCAGATTTGTATATAGTGCTCCAACAGAGAAAATACTATGCCCTCAAATAAAAAGAAATTCAGTCTAGGTTAAAAATGATTATCTAAAGAGATTAGCTGTCCATAGGGGTGGGGGTTCCTTAAATATTACTCCCTCCGCCCCTATCTTTGTACCATTTTACCTTTTTCGTCCCTCACACTAAGTTGTCCCATACCATATTTGGTAATATTCGAGTAATTTGTAGTCCATTATTACTTGATTCAAATTTTACCAATTCAATATCAACCATACATATTCACTTTTAAAAGAAACCACAACACCCCATCTTGTCCCAAAAAGTGAATACTTTTATATATGGACAAAAATGTGACTCAAAAGGTAATAGAATTTGAAAGTTATAATGCCATTGCCAGTTTTTCTAATGTCACTGTTAGTTCATTATGTGACTGTCAATGTCACTGTTACCGCCACTGGTGTCACTGTCAAGGTAAAACTTGTCACTGTGACCGTCAAAAAATTTCCCCGGCGACTCTTTCAGCAAAAATTAAAAAAATTTAAAACTTTTACGGTGAAATTTTCCAGCAAAAATTTCCCAGTAAAACTGTTAGTTCAACGCCCTGCGGCAACCACCGGCAATAGTTGCTCAGCAGGGGCGCAGGGGGCAGGGGTGGATAGTTGGGTTGGAACTAGATTTAAAAGAAAAGTATATATTAATTGCGGAAGTTCAGTCACATTTTTGTAAGATCGAAAACTATTTATTTGTTTACTGTAAAATTATTCATATTTTTGTCTTCCAAAAGTGTATAGGTATATTTTTGTCATTTCCCCCCAAAAAATACACACAATAACCATGTGTTTCATAATAAATCCTAAAAAACTAAATAAGGGCTAGACTAACAATTGTTTAGTAACTAAAGTTACGCCAAACAAAATACTTTTAGACTATTTTCATTATAAGATTATAAGATAAATTAGGTTACAAAGAAAATATGATAAGACAAAAATGACAGTCAAGTGTGCATTGGAGTCCCGCAAAGAGACTATTTCCTATATTTGAAAACAACACCTTAATGAGTGCGTCAAGGGTCCCTTCATAATTGATAAAAACTAGCAAATAAAATAGTAAGCCATCAAATAACACTTGAGACTATAATTTACCCTAATTAATTCATAAAATTTATTATATAAATGCAAGTAGTTTTGCACCACTATGCACGAGAAAAGCTAAACATCTTCAATTCTATATTACTTCTTGTCAATTACACCTTAAGTAGTACAACTGGAATATTCTCAATGGCACCTTAACTTCTTGTTTACTGGAACATGTATGAAGCAATCAACTAAATATTGATCATATTTTCTAATCTGCATATTATTCTACTGGTACCAAAAACTAGAAGAAAATTATAGAATTAGTAAATTAATCTTTCTTGTCATATTTTAAAATTGAAATAGTATTCATTGACTAAAAATAGAATTAATGCTATTTATACTTTATTATTAAATTAGTTTTGAAGTATTATAACATATTTTTATCATCTAGTCTAACATAGATGATATTGCAAATAAGAGGATGTGTAATTAGAATAAAAATACAATCACCTTGTTCTAACACTTTTTTGTTAGAGCATGTAAAATATGGTAAAAGTACTACTTTCGTCCCGTTGAAAGATTTTCATGACAAAACGACATGGTTATTTAGACAATAATTAAAAAGGTAATTTGAGTATATTTTGATAAATAATTTTAATAGGTATATAATATAACGGGGTTAGTGTTGATAATTGTGATGTTATAAATATATTATTTTTAATACTTAATGATTAAATCGTCATTTAAGATTGATAATTGTTTCCTAAAATAAAAATGAGAACCTTTACATGGGAAGTCGAAAAAAAGAAAGAGAACTTTTCTATGCGATGGAGGGAATATTATATTTTTTTTGTGAATATTATATTTGTGCGATGCACGGGTCTAATCACTACCAAGAGTTAGTCATAGTTAAGTGCACACATTTGATCATCTTTATTGTCTGTGAAAATAGGAGTTATTCATTAGGAGAAGAATAAAACTATAGTAGTTAATCATCATAATTACCCCATTGCCGCAAAGGGGTAAGGGGGGTCAGATGTACGCATCCGTACCCCTGTACTAAAGCACAGAGAGATTGCTCTGGATGACCCATAGTGAAAAGCGCGTCAAAAATTGTATGGACTAACTGGTGCTTCATAACATAGTAGTTAATAAAGAATAAAATTATACTACCTCCATCCCAAAATGAAAGTTACACTTTACTCTTCTTCAATGGTCAACATAGTTCCCTTTGATCTCTATAATTTTTTATATATTTAAATTCAAAATTTGCGACTTTGTATACCTTTCAATGTAGTTTATGAACGTGTAAATTTTAGATTCTAATTAAAAATTGATAGGAGAAGTTTGCTTTATCATCAGTCAAATATCAAAATCTATAATGGTCATTTTGGGACGGAGGTAGTAGTTAATCGATTTTCATAATTTGCAGCTGAATGAATTGCTTAGCACCTTGCCCCCTTCAAAGAAACCCACAGGGCATGTGAAGAAAATTTTGACAGCTCTTGGAATTGCTGTTGCAGGAGCGGCTGTAGCGTCGCGACTGTATTTCTCAACTAAGAAGTAAGCAAATGTGCTTTCTAGTCTATCATAATAGGCCCATTAACTATGAACACAGACACACATACACACACAGAGAAAGAAAGGCTTTGCAGGTGTGGAAGAGTCCATCCTAAAAATGTGTGAGCACACAAAGTCCCTTAGTTTTGCCTTCAAATAGATGCAGAATTTTTCCTCCCTTTAAACCCAAAGAATTGGATGTTTGAGTAATCAATGGAAATAGTTTGTTTTGCATACTCTTCTTTTGACATTGGTTCTTTGTTCTATTGGTAATTTGGGTACGGAAACCAACTTTGTGATGATGATGAGTCCCTATGATTCTATGAAAGAGAGGATCGAATGATTTATTTATTTGTCTCGTAATTAATTAAACCAGAAGTCAGCTTTTATATATCTTTGATGGAGTGTATGACAAGATTACATGACGGGGTCCTAATAAAAAAATCAATTAAAACAGAGATAAAGCAATTAAATCTATTTTAAAAAATCCATCTTTGCCTCCTCGGTGAGCAGTATGACCAGGTGGTTTTGGAGCACGTTTTCACTAGGAGTTGCTGGGCCTGGGCAGCCCGACCTGGGACCGGCACTCTTGGTACCTGCCCGGGTCCAATTTTCTGAGACCGGTACTGGCCCGGACCCTGGCCTGAGGTTATATAGAAGGCGGGCTACGGGCTCACATTTTGGGGAACAGCCCAGTCGGGCCCGGGCCTAAGAGTCATTTTTTATTTTTAAAAAGAGTATTATTATACTTGTTTTTTTGGTTCATTACCTATGTACGAAGATAAGTCCATAGATCCTAATTCCTAAAGAACAATACAATGAGGTTAGTCACTTATTTCATCAATTATTTAATGAGTTCTATGCACACTATGGTAATGCACCCTTCCCCCCGAAATCAATTCCTTCTTGATCTAAAAAAAAATCATTTTTCAAATCTACATTTGATAATTCTATGGAAAAGTCAATTTTCACTATTGCACAAAGCTTGATTAACAAGCTTTCTTTATAGCTAACGTTTTCTTGTGAGTATGAAGAAGTTGATTTTGACGTGTTCTCAAATGGTGGAAGAAGAAAGAAGGAATGTTCCCGATTTTTTATCGAAGATGGCAAATCAATGCCGGTGTCAATAGTAATAGTGGAACAAGAATTTAACGAAGGCCTGGCATAGAACTCAAATGTTTTGCATCGTCCCTGACCGCCACTTCATGGAGGAAACAACAATCGATGTTGGCGGAGATTCCGGCGATTAGCATTTTTTACTTCATATTTAGTAATTATAGAACTGACACTTTGCATCTCAATTCTCAATTGTACTTCATATTTCAAATAAATATACATTTACTTTTTAAGGTCTAGCATTTGTTCAATAAATTAGGAATTAAAAAAATAAATGAAACCTGGCCCGACCCGACCCTGGATGGACTGAGGTCCGACTGGATACTCAGACCGGAATCGGTACCGGAGCATACCGGGCTTTAAATCTTGGAAAGTTTGACAATAATTCTACCTTTCACTAGTCTTCTCATAATAATACCACCTTTACGTAATCCCAGAATAATCCCATCTTTGCAACGAAAGAAGATATATTGCAAAGGTGGAATTATTCTGGGATTACGTAAGGTGAGATTATTATGAGATGAGCAGTGAAAGTTGTGATTATTCTTGTCAATTTTTCCTTAATTCTTTAGTACCGTGGCCGGTGGCCTGGCCCGAATCCAACCCCAGTTTTCACCCGAAATTATTTAAAATTAATCTCACTTGACCTCTTCCTCGAGTAATATAGGAAAAATTCACAAGAATAATCTCAACTATTACTAATATTCTATTATTAATCCTAAATATGTGTTATTCTAAAATAATCTGAAATTCGGTGGTTGTCTTCTGATGTTGATCTTAGTTGACTTGCTACCTGCTAAACGGGTAAAAAATTAACAAAATAAGAAAATATCTTTATATTATATAAAGTAGCAAAGTTTGCTACAAGTTTTGGAGGCAAAATTGCCGCCCAAATGAAGGGCAAAATTGTAAATTTCGAATGCCTTGAAAATCACTACGTACTTGATGTAATTAATGCGCTAAAAAAGTATATGTTGACTACATGCTCGGTTTATTTGGCTTCAAATCCCACATGTAAACATTTATTAATTAAGGATGTAAATTGTATCATCTTAATTACGTAGTATTATCTTACCATAAATATAATTGAGTCTTTAAGAAACATGAACCTGATTCCTTTTGATAATAATTAAATATGAGCAAATGTAGAAATAAAGTTACGTCACTTGAATAAAGTTACATGGTAATGTCAAGTTTTACTTTTTTCTAATAATACAATGATACACTTGAATCAGTTGAATGAATATAATGGATCGTATAGATGCTAATAAAAGAAAGTAAATAATAATAATAATACGGGGTATAACCTTCCAAAGAAACTAATCATATATATCATGCATGTTTTACAAAGATTTCATGGGAAAGAAACATGAAAGAAAAGCATAACAATTGATTTCCATACATTTGCAAAAATAATATGCAATTGAATTGAAAATATTTTGAGAAATAGTTTTGATAAGTATAATATAATACCCCGTATATATAATGAGGTCATTCATGATAACTGTGATGTTACATATATACTTTTAATATTTGATGATTCAATTATCATTTAAGAGTGATATTTGTTTCATAAAATAGAAATGATAACATTTATATGAGACATCCAAAAAGAAAATTGTGAACCTTATAATCAGACGAGAGGAGTAACAATTAGTTGATATAATTAAAATCGCGCTACCAAATGGATATTGTGATAGTCTAATTTGCAAATCATTTTGGAACAAGAGAGTATAGGAATGGTTGAAACATGAGATATAATATAAAAGCAATTCTTACGACTCATAATTTTTTTACGGCATTTGTGAAAAGTATTATGACAATTACTTAATTAAGAGCCCGTTTGGTAGCACGAAAATCGGCTGTTTTGGCTTATTCTGCTGAAATTTATGAAATTCTAGCTGAAGTGGCTGCATTGGCTGATTTTGCTGATTTAAGAAAAAATTATTTTTAAAATATATTTTATTAATAAAATAATGAAAAAATTATATGTAAAATAGTTAAAATGGTCATCTACAGTAACTTCAGCCAATACAGCCAAAAAAGTAACTCCAACCTTACTTTTTCTGCTTATTAAACAATTCAATGCGCGAAAGCAAAAAATACGTGTTTGGTGAAAAAGTTGGTTGATAAGTCTGATAAGACAAAAAACAGTGTTGCCAAACGGCCTGTAAGATAACTAACTTCTGGATCTACAAATTATTAATTAATTTATGTCACTCATGGTATAACGATGGTCAAGGTCGTCTAATGAATTTGGAGGCCCCGGTTCCAAATGGTGATTTGAGGCCCCTTAAATTAAGAAAAAATATAAAATTTAATAATGAAATACAAAAAAAAACTAGATATTTAAAGTATGATGTTTTATGATGTTTAAAATATATGAATTAGAGAATTACAAGTTATATATACTTTTCCGAATAATCTTGAATAATATCTAACATCTAGAAAAATCAAACTATACCTAATACTACATTCTAAACTTTTGGAGACTTCCCTAAAAAGTTAATTCATTAAAAATGTATACTTTCAGAGTTAGTTGATTTGTGGGATTTATTTAAGAAATAAGAACTATCCTAACCATTAGAATATCACATTACTGAAACGCCATATATATAGTAAAATAGAAAAAAATATACTTCGTATCTTCTTAGTGTAAATAATTAGGCAATCAAGTTATTCATGAAGCTCTTTTATTCATTGTCAATATATGATTGTTTCATTTTATAAAGTTCCATGAAACCCACTGATAATTTATGAGTTTTTTCCCAAAAATTATGAAGCTCTTTTATTCATTTTCAACATACCCCCGTCCCAAAAAGATTGGCCAAATTGACTTTTTTGGTCAACTTTGACCAATGATATCTTTTAATACAAAATTATTTGAAATATGAAAATTATATGAGCTTATTCTTTACTAAAATCTCTTTCATAAAAGTATAAATTTATAAATTACACATAAATATAATACCTAAAATCATTGTCTAAACTAATCATTGACCAAAAAAAGTCAAATTGGTAATCTTTTTGGGACGGAGGTAGTATATGATTGTTTCATTGTATAAAGTTTCATGAAACCCACTAATAATTGTACTATCAAGTTATTTCATTGTCATTTAGAGTTATTATTAAACCTTATCATTTATTTTAATTTTACTTTCAATTTTTTATACGATCCAATATTATATTTTCTAACACCTACTACAACTTATACACAGTGTTCTAAAAGACGTAAGACCTGCCGAGGCGGCACGACCGAGCCTGAAACCTTTGAAGCCTAGGCGAGTGTAGGCGAACATTAAGCGTGAAAAGACATTTTGATTTTTTACTCATTATTTTATTATTTCTACAACAATTGCTAAGTGTGCAAGTGTAATGTTAGATCATATCACACAAAGTATCACACTATTTTATTTTTCAAATAAGTTATTTGTTCAAACAAAAAGTTATTGTTCAATTTTAGATATACTCCGTGCATCGCATGGGTACTTCGTCTACTAAGAGAAAAAGGAACAAGTGGTCCCTCAACGCATTTGTTTTTCCGTTTTCCTTTATTTTCTTCCTAATTCCTTTTCATACTTTCTGTGTATCCCCTGTTTTAGCAAGAATTATCTATACTAAACCAAATATTACGAACTGGGATCGTGCAAGTATATAATATGAATTACTTGAATAAATTGCTATTAAGTAGAAATGATATGAATGCTTCGAATGTTTACAGTGAAAGAGAATAGCGTGGACTTCAAAGTTAATATCGAGAATATCAAAAAAAGTGCTCTCTCCATGCTAGTCTTCAGATATTTAAATTAGCCTCCCACGATGGATGCTCCAACTGCCCGACGAAATAGGTGCTTGACTCATTCATCTGGAACCGTCTTTCTTTCCTTCCTCCTCAAGCCTTGCTCCATTTCTAGCCGATCCACTTCATCGTATTCTAACTGGGCTGGATCATAAATCTAATTAATTAGCCACGGGCCTTGCTACTGGGTGGATATTCCTCGGCCCAACATCCCCACCCCCTCTTTCCTATTCTAATTTGCACAGCCATGGTCGTATGTTATCC